ACCAAAACGTTTATCTTATATAAGTCCATATATATACCATGTTAATTGGTGCCTACTTCTTTTTTTCATGACATATATAAATCAACTAAATCAACCCCAAATTATTCATTCCCATTCCCAAATACAACTACCTACACACATAGAATTCCTTACCCGCCGGAATGAGTGAGGACAAAGACTGCGGCCACCACCACCATCACCACCACCACCACCACCTAACACGTCACCAACGTCGCCTCCTAGCCGCGGTGGCCGCCTTCGTGATCCTCGTCCTCTTCGTGATCCTCCTCGTCTACCTCATCCTCCACCCCTCCAAACCACGGTTCGTTCTCCAGGACGCCACCGTGTACGCCTTCAACCTCACCTCCGGCGGCACTCTCCTCACAACCAACTTCCAAGTCACCCTGTCTGCCCACAACCCCAACGACCGTGTCGGAATTTACTACGATCGTCTCGACGTCTACGCGGCTTACCGCGGTCAGCAGATCACCCTACCGACCCTCCTGCCACCGGCCTACCAGGGCCGTGGGGACTCCGACGTGTGGTCGCCGTTCGTGTACGGGACGGAGGTCCCAGTCGCGCCCTACCTCGGGGCGGCACTGGTCGAGGACCAGATCTCGAGGAATCTGATGATTAACGTTAGGGTCGTCGGAAAGGTCCGGTGGAAGGTGGGGACGTTCATCTCCGGCGAGTACCGTTTGTATGTCAACTGTCCCGCCTATATTGATTATGGTGGCGCCGGCGGGGTTAAGTACCAGCTTATCATGGACTGCCACGTGGATGTTTGAGGTTTTCTCGGTTCTTGGTTTGAAAAGATTGTTGAGAGAAAAATAATAAATGACGAACCATTTACCATGTCCTTTTGTTTACATCTTAATTTAACCAGTTTGATTATAGAATGTTGTTTGAAAATCGTTCAATAATTATTCTTCGGTTGTTAGAGAGAACATTTTCTTTTTCACTATATTTTCGTCATTTAATCTTAGAATTGAAGGTACAACATAGAAATCTTGACAAATATTGAGTAAAGGTAAAGGAAGGACGTCAAAGTTCAAATGAGTATGAATTAGACTAATGAATTAAAAGGGACGTCAACATAAATATATAAAATCAACGAGATGCTACGGTCCCATTATGGAACTATTCTGTTGGGGTTTGTAACCATTAGATCAACTATCCCCGACGGTTACAAATCCGACAGAACAGTTCCGTAACGGGACCGTAGCATTTCTCAATTCTTCTAAAAAAGGTACTTGTTAGGTTCGTTCAGTCTACAATTATATGCAATTTTTCAACATATGAGAATGTTTGTCGGGCAACAGGCAACATCTAAAAAAAAAAAAAAAAAGCAAATAAAATAATTCGTGTGCGACTGTTTTTGGCTTCGTTTTATTGTTATTGGAGTTTTGAAAGCATATATTTAGGATCATGTTTACATTGAGATGAATCCAACATCTGATGTTTCAAAAAATGAATAAATATTATTTGACGGGAACTTGGATATCGAGGTGTCAATATTTGATGCATATAGGTATATAAATAGAGGTAAATAAAAGCAAAAAATTACAATTTTAGTCCCGTTAGTTTGATTCGTTGTGTTTTTAGTCCTAAGAATTGAACGTTTTTGCTATTTGGTCCTATAATTTTAAAAGTTAAAGCAATTCTAGTCATTTGGGACTGAAAATGCAACAACATTTAAAATTACATGACTTAAATTGCTAATAAAAAATCTTTTGGATGAAATTTTTATTAGTAATTTAAGTCTTGTAATGTTTAATTTTGTTGCAATTTCAGTCACTTGGAACTGAAATTGCAGCAAATTACAGGATAAAAAGACAAAAAATTAAAATCTTGAAATTAAAAATGATACGCCGTTCAGGACTCAAAATGCAATTTTACCTAAACAAAAATCTGGTAAAGTATAAGGATAGGATGTATGGACTCAGACAAAATTTGGAAATGGCCATACGGAACTTTCTTTTCCTTGCATGTTTCATGTATTACTTTATTCACGTTGATGACCCACGGAAGTAGTTGCAAACATTGAAAGAATCAAACCACTTACCTTTATTATAATCACTTAGGCACGTAGTTGTTTCTTCAAATGAATGGTGAATATATAGGTTATTTTAAGTTAGTTGATAGCTGATAACTTATAAGTGAATTTTGAGCTTAAAGTTAATAGTTTATGACTTATGACTGAAAAACGTGAATTTCAAGCTTATAGTTGAAAAACTAGCTGATATGATAAAAGTGTGATAAATTTAACAGATAAGCCAACTGAAATAAAAAAATTCAACGGGCTTATTTGAAAAACTACCCAAAAAACTTGTGAAAAAAGTTCGAGTTTTTTTAACAAAGTTTATCCTACCAAACCACACTTATTTGAATACAAAAAACTTATAACTTAATTAAATAAGTCATATGTTAGCTTATGGTGGATACCAAACACACTTTATATAGTGTTAGATTAGAAGTCCATTATTTCCTTCATATAGTTAATGATCATGGTATAGTAGATCTGACCTGGCATAAGGATAGAAACATCAACAACAAACGTGCTTATGGTGCATCAAGGTTAAAATTGTAAACGAACCGAAACGAAATAACCAACCTCTCATTTTGAATTTGTGAAAATATTTGAATATTTATGTACTCCTAATAGGATTAAATAGAAATCAATTTGTTATCTAAATTCAAAACGTATTGGGTAGGATCGTACGTTTCGTAGTCTTTCCAACAAAGAATTTTTTTTAGATGTCCCACTGAGCGTGCCAGAAATTTGTAACAACAAATTTCATGTATTGAATTTATAAACACGAAAAATATCTTACAGAAGAAATTTTTGAATTAAACAAATATTGTGGATTACCATCTCTATTTTTTCGTCTAATTTTTTCACGAACGATTTTGTGTCTTGGACCAAAATATTTGACTTGATTTTCTCCTTGACTTGAATTAACATTAATCTGAGGGCCTAACGCCTTGATTTCGTATCAAACGTCGTAATATATATCCCAAGAACGTAATGAACATGAGTCATTGGTATTCCCTGCAAAGTCCATCCTGAATCTTCTTCGCCCGGTTTTGAGTTTACTAACTCAATTTTGAGGCTTGACAACTTGTTCCAGAATAAACGCCAGTCTTGAGGTTGAACGCGCTTGAATTTTGCTTCGAATCTACAAGAACACCTTTGAACGTTCAAGAATACTTGAATCTCTTTGAGAGAATCTCTAAAGCTCTTGAACTTGAATATGAATTGTGATGTGTATTTTTAATAACATAATTCGGAGGCTTGGCAGTTTGTTACCGAATTAAACGTCAGTCTTATGCTTGAACGCGCTTGAATCTTCCTTCGAATCTTTACAAACGTCTTTGGATCTTTAAGAACACTTGAATCTCGTCGAGAAAATTTATAGAGCTCTTGAGCTTGGATATGAATTGTGAGGTGTTTTTATTTTTTTTATTTTTTGGCTTTAGAAAGAGTTCCTATTTATAGGTGTATGAGAGAGAATCCTACTAAATTTAAGAATCATAGGACGCGATTTGATTGGTTTATGATGATTCACAAAAGATCTTCTAGATCTACTTAAAATCCCAAGATCTTCTCGAAGACGTGTAATCTATTTCCCAAGAAATAAGATTTAACATTGACATTATTTGAATGATAAAATTAAAATATTAAAATATCAATTAATAAACTACTTAATTTTAATAAATAAATTTTGTTAAAATTCCTAAAATATTAATAGAAATATGACATTATTTTTTATTAATTAATTTTCATGGCGCCATTTGGTTGACCACAAGTTTTATGTATCTGTAAATCGAGACTAGTTCACGGACAACGTGTTTTGAAGTGAATGAGTCACGACATTCTTTGATCATCACTACAAAATAATTGTTATATTCCAACGGTAAATTCTATGGTAATATATTCTAATGAAAATTTCAACGGATATTCCAATGATATAGCTTTTGTTGGAATGGTTTCAACAGAAATTCCAACGGAATGTGTTTTTCATTGGAATTTTAGATGGAATTTGTTGATTCCAACGGCTATATTTCCAACGGCTTTTTACCATAGGAATTTTTGTTGGAATATGCAAATTCCGTTGGAATTTTTATTTCCACCCTCGTTGGAAAATCCACCGTTAGAATCGTCAAAATCCAATGGTAATTCTAATGTAAAACTCATTCCAACGGAAAAGTTTTGTTGAAATTTCCGTTGGAGTCCATTGAAAAATTCCAACGGAAATAATAGTATTGAATTATCCGTTGGAGGAATAGATTTCTGTTGGAATTTCATCATTTTCTTGTGGTGCATGCTGCAGACCCAATCATCTAAACTACTTGACAAATCATGAGATTGGAATATTGGGCTTCAAAATCTAAAGCCCATTACCTACTTGTATCCATTACTTTTAACTTTTTTTTTCCAAACGATAGAAATTACATTGAAGAAAAACACATATATACAGCTATAAACAGCTCAAAAGCCGAAGGAACGACTCACAAGCCGAATCTAGTGGGAGGACATATCTAGAGGATCGCCTAGAAGCTCAACTAGAGCAACTCACCCACTAAAAATAGAAAAAACACAAACACAAACAAACTCCACCACTGGAGAAAAAACCCCAACGGGAGACTACAAACTCCCCTACAGGAGAATACCCCTCCCCGATGGGAGAAAGCACGTTCTCACCCTCAGGAGAGAACGCACTTATACCAACCAAAACAACCCAACCAAAAATACCCCACCCCACAAAAAACACCACAAAACATACAAACAACAAAACAATACTAAACAACAAACACAAAGAAACAGCACCACTAAAACACAACCTAATCTAAAACACACAAAAAGAATCTTCTAAGTAGCCCTCCCCACAGAGGCTAAGCATCTCCAATCTCCGCAGCGGCAACACGAAGGAACGCCATCCAATTGGATCAAGCCACGACCTCAGAATTGGACTCAGAAACTGCAAACAAACGCCTATCTAAGTCCAAAGCCAATAACCCCGACCCATATTCGGGCGACCATCCCAACCCTAGCCCAGAAACCACACCGCGACCACCCACCACCGACATCAACAGCAAAGTCCAAACCACAGAGGCCTAGTCTGGCCTCGACGACCACCTCCAACCAACACCAGGAAGGAGAGAGGTCCGGTGAGAAGCGGGGGCCCTCCGAACCCTAATTTCTCCAAAAAAGGGGAAAATACAGGACCACCACCCAAATCGGAATGACCACCGGAGGCACTCCACAGCGAAAAGCACCAGGAAATCAGCTACCCACGACCCCATCCTAGCACCAAACATCCATGGCGAAACCTGTTCAGGGGGGAAGCTTCTTCCCCAGTGGAGAACAGTTCTCCAACCGGCAGTTTTCCCGAAGATGGGCCGCAGAACCAGGGCCGTACAATGATCAAGAAAAAGGACTCGTACAATGGACTCATGCGTGAAAGTTGGACATACTAAATGGACTTGACCAAACATATGACAACTTTTTTTTTTCGACGAGGCCCAAACTGATGTATTGGGTGGCCCTTTTTTTAAAATTTTAATTAATTTGAGGCTCAAACTAATGTTTTGAGTGGCACCCATATATCAACTCCCAAACTGACGTATTAGGCGGCCCTTCTTTTAAAATTTTAAAATTTATTTGAGACCCAAACTAATGTTTTGGTGGCACCCATATATCCACTCTTATAGTTGTGCCCTTCAAGTGCTCGATCAATTGCCCGAAAGGTACAAACATATGCTATATATATATATGTGTGTGTGTGTGTGTGTGTGTGTATTTGTTTTGTCTATACTTTTGCTACGTTTGAGCTGCAACATATAGTTCGGGATGAAACGAGGATGTTCGATCGCGTTCGAGCTGAAACAGATTAGTTTTGTTGTTGCCCGGGTGGATATGAATCAGTTCGACATACTCATGTTGATGTTCAGACTCCATGAACGTTGTTCGGGATGAAATGGAGTTGCCCGAGCGCTGTTTGGGCTCAAACGAACTAGTTCGAGAGCTATCTAGGCTGAAACAAATCAGTTCGGGAGTTGTCCGACCCATTTTTTTATGAAGATGATTAATTTATTTTTTTACATGTAGGTACTCGTCCACTTTTCGAAACATCCCGAAATTCAACCATGGTGTATTGCAAGGACCTTACTTCCTTTTCCGGCATCCAACACTTGGAGATACTCAATGACGATCAATGTTCTATAGAAGAAGGCACGACTCTAGCTACCTTTCAACCCTTCATCAACAAGTTCTCACCTCCATGGCCAAAATTGACAAATTCCCTCTACTTCAAGAAGTGGTCTCAATAAGTTCAATCCAACAAGAAAATCAAGACATGGGCATTGCAAACAACTCATCATCATCAGCAGCCGCTAGATAAACAACCCCTATTATATACTTTGGGTCACCGAATCATCGAGGGAAAAGCCATATGGAAAGAAGATCTCATGAAGTTCCTTGGCGAGTTCTACCATGTCAATGGCTATTGGGAATGGGCCAAAGATATTCTCAGTCGATGCAAAGAAAAACTTCATTCTACCAAGATATACGACTCCATCTACGCCTCACTAATCTCATACAATTACAACTCAAATATTATCAAAGCAATATGTGAATCTTGATGCACAAACACGCTACTGACCTCGTATGGCGATTTATCTATTTCTTTGTGGAACTTGCACGCGATTGCCGGTCTTCCTATATCCGGGTTATTATATGACGAGGTCGTCCCGAGCATTGAAGAACTTAGTAGCATTGACAAGAGCGGTGTGAAATTCCTTATCCGTCCATGCAACCACCTACTACATGTTTTCCACCATCTTCAACAGAAATCCTGCCATGGCTAATTTACCCAATTCACCACTGACAATTTGATCAACTTTTGGTAAAAGAAGGCAAAAGAGTATGATGCCCCTCCTCCAAGTGTAGAGAAGAGATCCACCCGTACAAACAAGAGCATCCTAAATTAACCCATAATCCACTTGCCGACATTTTTAATCACCAGGACTGGTCCCCGTGGAGAAAGTTCCTTTTTTTAAGTTAGGCATCAAAGAAAAATATTAAGATTCGACATATCTTGCGTCTTTCATGGCATGGTAGCTTTCACTTTTCGTCCTTCCTAACGATGACATCCACCCCATCCGTTCTAGAACTTTTAAGATGATGAGTCTCTTAGTAAATGGATCGAAAGTGAACTTAGTCGTCATGGTTCTAGCGAGCATCTACAAAGGGTTCAACCAAATTGCGATATCCCCAAGACCTTCTCAAGTTTACTCGACATATCCCATGAACTTCGTATACGACTGGCTAGCTCATTACTTCAAGCCCAATAACCAAGTCTGACAAGGAACAAATGACCCAAAGATGGTGACTTATTCCGGTGAGGGTCGCTCAAAATATTATGAACTGAAAAATGTTCGAAAGAGAATTCAAAAAGGCAACTTAATCTCTTGTACGTGCACCATGATCACGAAGACTGAAGACTTTTCTTACGTCGACAATGGAAATGTCGAACCTTAGAACAAGACTTCTTCCTTGCCATCCGTTCAAATTACCTAACTTTGAGGCAATGCGGTCTTTTTGCAGTTGAGCTCTACAGTCCACACTGATTTAGTTGTCAATTTGGATTCTTTCATGTCTTTCATGGAGTATTCAAACAAGACATGGGCGCAAGTTCCTAAGAGGAAGGGCTCCTTTACTGGCGAATGCGCACATCCTTGAAGACTTTTTCCCGAGCGTGTCTTCCTTGTGTTCCCACCAATGCGAAGATCTTTTCAACTGAGGAATACAAAGAAAAGTGGAACAAAATTCATGGAAACAACATAAAAAAAAATGGGAACTTGACTGCCTCAAAATAGAAGAGAGAGATACTGAAAAGCAAACGACCCATTGAGAAAGACGATCTACCGTCCATAAAGCACGCCTAAGGCAATCCGAATAGGCCCACTCTTTATTCTACTGAGAATTGTGTTGTTCAATATTGCAAGGTCGATAAGAGATAAAAAGTTACTTTTTTCGAGAACAAGAGCAGCAGTGGCGATCAACATTGGAAGAGAGCGAAACGAAAGCCTGACTGGTTTTACACATTAGCATATTATGACTTCACTAAAAACACCCAATTGCTTTGTTGTTTTCTCGATATGGTATTCTTTAGAGTATGCTTGGATACAAAATTTATGTAAAAATATCTAAACATTTTTAACTCAACCACTTTTTTAACTCAACTTAAATTCAACCCCACTATCATTAATATTATTAATATAATTAAATAATATCAACCAATCATTTATACACATCACACCAACCTTAATTCACTATTCATCCACTCACATAATTTTAATTAACCATCACTTCAAATCATCTCTCATACTTTTATATGAAATCAATTTTAAATATTATATTTTAAATATTCTTTTAAAATACCCATTAATAACTTCTCATACCACCTTTTTCTATTCTTCTTATTTCTCTTAGTGTATACTTTTCAGCTTTTTACTTGGGCTTGGGCCAAAAGCCCAATTAAGTTAATTAATGTTGCAGTGTGAGGTTTGATTTATTATAAGTTTTAAGATTCAAAAGAATTGGGGAAGCTCAAAAAACTTGGTGAATATGTTTCCATTTTAAATTTCACGGGCAATTTTATTTTTATTTTTGTAATAACTAACTTTTTCAAATTCAATATCAACAGCCCAATTAAAACTAATATTACAATCTAAATTTAGAATTTACAAATAAAACTTACAAATTTATAATCTAAAAAAAATTACAAATTTAGAATTTACAAAATAAATACAAAACCTTACGTAATAAATTTCACACTTTAACGTTTAATTTGATAATGATAAAAATATACATACAATTATAATATACATATAAAACTAATAATAAAAAAATATATACAATTATTTTGTATATAGAGAAATATCATTATACACTACAAAATTGATAATAAAAATATATGCAATTATATATTATGCATATAAAATAAATAATTTTTATGTAATTAAATCGATTCAACCACTGGTCCGATCAGTGAACCATTAAACCAGTTACTTTATCAAAATAACTTTAAAAAATTAAATAACTTTATCGGTTCAATGTCCAGTTCGGTTTACAAACACGAATTGCAACTTTTACCAGGAAAAGCAGTATGATTTGAGGCGCCTAACATTTTGTGTCCGATCATTATATTTCTCAACTCAAGTAGATAATTACATACAAGTGTTTATCTGACCTGTTATGCATAAGCTGATGTGCTCAAAATGAGTTATGTTTTCTCAGGCGTGCTGTACAATAGTTGGAGTGGAGACCAACTTTTAATTTCATAATTTACTTGTTGCAGACATTATAATGGATACTTTTTTTTTTTACTTATTTATTTATTTATTTATTTTTGAAAAAATAAAAGTATATTGTGTGATATTCCTAATAAAGATTAAAAAAATGGAAATTAGAAAAATATATTGCTTTCAGTTGTGAATTAATTATACAATGAAATTATAATAATCAAAGATGATGAGATAAAAGTAGTAAATTATTAACTAATAATTAATAATAAACAAATGGATGAACAATATCTTTTGAAAATTTAAAATTAATTATTAACTTTTATTTATAAAATATGCTGATGAAAGTAAAAAGAAAAAAAAAATAAGATACTATGAATAAGATATTTTAATAATTTAAAAAAAAAAAAGATTATATTCAAATACAACTCCTATAAACCAAATTTGTTGAACCAAAGGCATATGGGATTATTTAGAGTAATGGTACATAGTGATTGGATATGAATTTGACTGTTTGTTACTGTTAACTAGAATTAATTTTAAAAAATGTGGTATAATTAGTTGTCGGATAAGGTTATATTGAAATAATATTTAAAATAAATAATTAAATTTGATTTAATGTAAAAGTGCGAGAGAAATGATGTGAAAAGGTTGGTAAAAATTATGTGAAGAGATGAATAGAGAAAAAAATTGTTGGGTGATGTGCAATAATGATTGATCAGTATTATTTAATTATATGAATAAAATTGAGGATAATAAGAATAGATTAAAGTTGAGTTAAATAAGTTTTGATTGATGTTTTATAGATGAATTTATATCCAATCACACCCATAATATTTTGCCCTAAATTTTGATATAATTAATATGTAAGAATAGAAGTTATTGAGTTCAAAGATTATATCAAACTTTATGTCATCTATTTTTTTTAATGATTGATAATTTTATATGCTATAAACACTTACTAACATAAGCCAATAACATAAACTCAAAAACTCTTTAAAAAACACAACATGACACAACAAACATTACAATAAAACCACAAATTGCCCCCACAACACTCACACTATACACTCATTACACAAATGCAAACAAGTAAACAAGAAAGCAAATACAATACATGTGCACCACAACCTGCATCCACCCACTTTTCTAACACATTACATTCTCAGAGCACAAAGTCAAGTCACTGCAGAGCAACCTAATAAGCAAACAGAACACAGTCAATGATTTACCAGCTGCTGACTTTTTTTGTTTTTGCCGGTTAGACGAGTTAGTCATGGCGAGCTTTTTCCGATTTAGCCCGCTCTCAACACGTCCAAACAAGACTCATTGAAAATTGTGGGTTGTAACGGGAATTGGAGCGACTTGGTGAAATTGTTGAGGCATTTTTCGGGTCTTTTCTGAATCGTTTTTTGCAGTTTGGTCCAAGAGGCGAACTAGCGAGATGAATATTTCCATTCTTGTGACGTCCCGATTGGCCTGTTGCAAAATAAAGAAAGAAAAGATAAAAACTAAACATGCTTGAATAAGAATAAAATTTGTCGATATAAACAAAAATTAAATTACCTCAACAGCAAAGCGCCCCCAAATCTTGTCTTTTCGAGTCTCCATGACTCCCTTCAATATGGTTAACCCCAGTCCTCTAATTATGTCTGCGATTTCTAAAAACAAACCCCTTTCTTCACAGAGCATCTGTTAATTAAAAGGAAAGGCAAAGCATTTGGTTAGTGCAACTTCAAGAAAACAATGGCCTGCCAGTGGATAAAATCATGAGTTGGAGCCTTGGATTCGAGGCGGTCTGTGTTACTTTACCTCAACGAGCATTTGACGTGGCTGATTTAGGTCCTCGACTATGATTGGACAGACCATTGACTGTGAGCCTACTTCGTAGGCCCACGTAGCTCCACCTTCAAAATTCTCTTTCAAGAGCAAACCACCATCTTTGCTGATAATCTGACACACAAAACAAATTCATATAATACAACATTAATATTTGCATGATTTACAGTTTTTTTAGAACCTTAGCAAACACTGATTATCACTTTCTTGTAAATACAGTAAATGATGTACTCTACAAGTGTTCATCACTTCCAACTTTTCTCTGCACAATTTGTACGACAAAAAATGAAACATAAACTGCAGCACTGAATTAAAAATAGTTTGCGATAGGATTTCACACCTTAGACTCTCCAGTTTGTTTCAGCTTGTCCGCATGCTTCGTCACGCTTTGCAAGAAAAGCATATGTTTGATAGTACGCTCGAGTAGAGAATCAATGCTACACTGTCATATCAATCCACCCGAAAAAAAAGGGACGTGTTATTAATATAAAAAGACCAAAATGCATTTATAATAAAATGAAGTAATACAACAACCCATTTGTAATAAAAAACATGAAAATTAACAAACAAAATTACCTTTGCCCCATTGGGCACAATCTCCCTTAGTTCCTTAACACGATCTTGGATCATCTGCCGGTCTTTTGGCCTTGGCCTGGGATTTTCTCCGGGTTTAAGCCTCTTTCGACCCGTTTTACCACTCCCCTCGTCCGTTTTCTTCGAATATCCAGTGGACAAGCTCGTAGCCTGCTTCCCCTTCTGATCCCTCGCAATCCACGAACTTATTTGCGACCCAAAAATCGAGCTCCCTTGAGAGTAAGCCCCTGACTCTTCCTTTGTGGGCCCCATTCCCAACGAGCCACAACTCATTGACCCCGCTTTGGCCATGAATTTCGGCACCCCAAACAGCTCCCCCTTCATGCGATCCGAAATCCCGAACCGGCCATAAGGTAACGAACAAGAATTCGGTTCGGATGAGCTACTAATGTTCGTGAAAGTGGTCGCGCAAGAAACACTGTCATCAAGACCACGTTTGGTTGGATGGGGAATTTTAGAAACCACAGCCTCTAGAAGATGGTCAGTAGAACTAGTCGAGGAAAAAATCCCACTTTCTGAATTTCCTCGGCTATTAGTAATGGATGGAAAATTATTACTAAACTCATTATTATTACAGGAACTATTGAATAATTTATTCTTGAAGTCAGCTCCCAAAACGTCGAACAAATCATCTCCGGAATTCTGTTTCTCATTGCCGTCCACAAAACTGCCAATATTAAAAGCCTGAATTGCATTCTGTTCTAACTCTCTCTTAACCACGCTCGACTCATTTTTCCTAAGCTTCTCGTCCGTATGATTCGTATCTGATTTGGAAAAGATGACATTTTTTAGCTCACTAGAAGACAGGTTCTTTGAATTATTGTTTCCTTCATCAGAATAATACATCGAGCTGAGATTCGTTCTATGTGAGGGCATCAAAAGAGAAGAGGACGAGCTTGGGGTATTGAACAACATTTTTGGTTCTGTGCATCTTATATTGCTACTGTCCATATTTGAAGGTAAGCTTAGAGATGACCACATTTCTGAGTTGGAGGGAAAAACTTCAGCCTTTGCCACCAAATTTGTTTGGCAGTCAATCATAGAAGGTTCGGCCGAGTTTGAAACATAGTTGAAATTGTCGAACGAGCAAGGTGGGCTGACCGAATGCGGAGTGTGTTCTTTAGGTAGTTCGTTAAGATATCCGAGTTGAAGTAGTAGTGATGTCACGTCATTTACGAACCCCATATTCTCCATTATCTGAAAGAGAAACAAAGATCGAGTTTTGCTTCAAAAAAACAGAAAGAAAAACAAAACTACATTAACTAAAGAATATTAAGGGCCTATATGTGCCTTTATTGTTACAAGTGAAGTGTACGGTACATAACAATTATAACTTATTCAAGTCTTTCATATCATTTTAGCAATATGAGTATACGAGAATAGCGAAAAGAAAAGGCCTTACGGTCAAGGATGAACCAAATTGAACAACACCATGGGGCAGAACGGGAATGACAGCAACCGTCTGATCAGGGTAAAAAGGAGGTATTAGTTAAACCACCAAACCACAGGACATAAATTTATTAAAAAAAGGAAAAATAAATGAAGAAAATAAACAAAGAAAAAAAATATCGGTTTCATACCTGCATACCAGCTGCAAATTGTAGGCACACCTCCTTTTGAACCTGTAAAGGCAAACAATTGATAACGAGTTCTGTTATAGATAAAAGAGACATGTAAACAACCAAACATTCATGAACTAGAAAATCAAGTAGAACCTAACATATATTGAGACTTTCTCGAGCAGCCTATTTTAACTAGAACAAAAGATGGGAGTTAACACTGCAGTGATTGAGAATGTTCTGCAACAATTCACTCTTTAAAATACACAAAAACAAGGCTCATAAGGACATTCGAACGATTACTCCTGTTTGCGATAGATGTATTGAAAAAAGTCGTAAAATGAAAGATTTGAAGCAGTATCAGCTGAATAATACAACTAAAATAAGTTTCCATATAAAACACTAAAATAAGCTTCTTCTTTTTTCTTTTTTCTTTTTTTTTTTTTCCAGCCAAAAGCTGAGTACACTTCTTTTTTTTTAAGTGTTGCAAAGCACTCTCATCATACCTCTGGTGGCTGAGCTTCTCTAAAGCAGTTCTCAGCTAGGACCCACTGATGGTTTCCAGTAAATGCAACTCTTCCAACTAACCTGAGAAAAAATCACACAAAAAGTTCACATTAGTCGAAAAAAAAAAAGAAGGAAATAATAAGAGGTTTCTCCATGACTTCAAGCATGAATTACAATGACCAAGGTTTAAGAAATGAGTTACCCTTCTCCGACAATATTAACTTGATTGTCCATCATCATCTTGTTTACAAGAAAATGAACCTTGTCCGCTGCCTGAACGCTCGACTGTAAACCGCAAGATTCGGTTGAAACCCAAGAAGTACCGAAGTCACGAAACGTGTTCTCTGGATTTAGATTTCCAGCTAGCCGTGAACATGATGCAGTTTCGTAGTAAAAATCTTCCCATATTAAAAGCCTGGGAAAGAAAATCACGGTAAAAGCTCACTATCAACATTCTTGAATCTTTTAAAAATATTGAATTAAGTATAGAAAATAGATAACTACAGCAAATTCAGCAAACAAACAGGGAATTAATTCATGGGAGACAAGAGAAAAGGTACAAATGGGATGCAAACAAGAAGTACAACCTCAGCATTTGGCATAAAATCTATCACACTTGAAAGGGTTTCACCATATGAGAACAAAAATCTAGAATTCTTACAGAAATTTTCAAGACAAATTATAACAGACCCACCAAGATAATTCCAAACCTTAAAGAAAGTGAAAGAGATATCACTTATCAAATCATGAAGCAAGAGGAATCAAAGGAAAAAGACAACCATAACCAGTAAATCTTGTGACTTTTCAAAACATATATTGTTAACCAACAAAATTAGGCAACTTTAACCCTATAATTACAGATCAAAGTGCCAAACAATACTCTCTAAGTTAGTCAAATATATAAGAATTTCAAGAAAGAGATAAATCAACAGGAACCTTTGTAAAGTCCTAAAATTTAACTGAAAATTTTCATTAAGTTCCTTCTAGTTGGAGTTAAAGAGGTGAAAAACAAACAGAAATGCTAGGATAAATAGCTTTAAAGTTTTCTTCCACCTTTATTTTCCTTATTAACCTAAACTAAAGGCCAAAAAAAAGAGCAGAATAAAAGCAAGAAAGGCAATTTCAAAGGCAAATATAAGGATCATCTTTTTTTTCTTGATTAATCAGAAACAAAAAGGTGAGAAAACATGTTAACATATAAACAAACTCACTTGGGGTTTTGGCAGCCAATCTTCCAGAAAACAGCATAAGACCACTGATTAACCCCACAGAGAGTCTTCAGAGCTTCTTTCAACAAGTACCCCATTGCAGTAAAAAAAAGGTACAATGCCCCAAAAACAAGAGTAACAATATATTTACTGAGTATTCTTGAATCAAGATTCACCAAAGAGGACCAAGTGACTTGATTTATATCTCTCCAAGAGAGACCAACATATACTCTTTGCCCTTCTCTTCAAAAAAGATAGTTTTTTTTTGCCCTCAAAGTAAACAATAACTAAAAATACGCCTTAGCCTAACTCCCTCTGCAAGACCCACGTCCGGCCTGTTTAGTTCTCAGACCACCGCTCCTTTTTCTTTCCGGATCCAAGTTTCCGGCTAACATGTTCTTGCAACCCATTATTGAGAGAGAGAGAGATAGAAAATTAAAGGGGTTTGAGAAAAAAAAAAAATGAACAGAAAATGGAAGAAAAATGAAGACAAATTGAGAACTTTACACTATCCCACAAGCCTTAAGCTCGCAGTTAACAACCAAGACAAGAACTTTCTCCATATCAAACCTCAAGAAAAGGAAAAAAAAAAAAAAAAACTTGGGTTTTTTTCAGGGTTTCTTGGGTTTTTTGAGGGATTTGAAAAGATCAGAGCTTTTTCAACTGGTTTTTTGAGGAGGGAAATTAATCACTCTGAGCGTCTCTGTGTTGTGTGGGTGTTTGTGTGTGTTTTTAAAAGAGCTCTGTGCTTCTTCAGTGTGCAAAGAGTGAAAGAATGATGGTATTTTATTGGTGCTGCTTTTCGTTTTTTTTCTTTATTATTTTTTTTTATTTAATTTAAATTTTTGTGGGGTGTGCTTTAATGGGGGTGATGAGAGGGAGTGTGCTAAAATGCGCCATGATGATTAACCAATGAGAGGTGGGGTGATGGAAAACAGGCCTGGAGTTTGTGATTAATTGCCATGGCTGCCCCTGTGTGTGTGTGTGTGGTGGGGATGCTGTTTTTTTTTTGTCTTTTTTTTTCTTTTTCTTTTTGTTTTTAATAACAATATAAAATAAAAAGGCAAAATTGCAATTTTTAGTCTTGTTGGTTTGATCGAGTGACGTTTTTTTTTTTTTGGTACAAATCGAGTGACGTTTTTAATTCTAAGAATTGAACATTTTTGTTATTTGATCCTATGCTTTTAAAATTCAGTGCAATTTCAGTTTTTTGGATTTGAAAATGCCACAAAATTTAAAATTACAGGACTTAAATTGCTAATAAAAAATATTTTTGATTAGTAATTTAAGTCTTCTATTTTTAAATTTTGTTGCAATTTCTGTCTCAAAAAAATTACAACAAAATACTAAATTACAGGATCAAAAGATAAAAAATTAAAATCTTGGGACTGAATATATAATTTTACCAAATAAAAATAATATCCAATTTTTTTTTTCTCTTTACAATTTTTGTTTTCAATTATTTTAAGGGGAAAAGGCCCAAAAGGGCAGGCAGAATATTGTGTACTTTTGAAACTGTTGTGGAGAATCTCTGTAATAAATTCAGTCAGGAGCTGTCTTTGTTTAGCAAAATATAAACATATCTGATTGGGATTTGGGGGTGAGGATGAAAATCTCTCAAGTTTGAATAATTTCATTTATATGAAAATTTTATAAATGTCAAGGACAAATAGGTGTGATAAATTATAGTCACGTTTAAAATATAAAAAAAATAATAAAATACAGTTTAAGGATTTTTTATATTGATAAAGATAGGGGAAATGTTACAATCACGTTATGGAACATTCTATCGGAATTTGTAGACGTTAGATCTACTATCCCCGACTATTACATAATGATCTAACGGCTACAAACCCGACGGAATTGTTCCGTAACGGGATCGTAGCATCTCCTTAAAGATAGGTCTATTGTTACTAACTAGTACAACGCCCGTGTATTACATGAATTCTTGCTAATTTTTTTCTTAAAATCTAAAATTAATGAGAAAAAGTAATTGAAAATTTAAATATATTATATATATATATATTATATATTTAGTATTATAATTTTTATTTGTGCGACTTACATGTGTTATATTATAATAGTTTTTTTAACTTACAACATATCCCCTCCCTCTATATATTAATCCAGAACGCGCTGAGCCTACGTGTCTGTTTCTGGTGCTTCGGAATCCTATGTGGCAAAATTACATGCTTTGTTATTAGGCTTGGGTAAATTTTAATTTAATTCCAAACTAAAAATAAGTAGGTTCGGATTACCATAAATACGTTGATTATTTATGATCATTAACATGTATTAATTGCATTTTAATATCATTCCTTATTATAATTATTGAATTGTATATATATATTTTAAAAGTTAATAAATTTTGCATTTTTTATCATTTTATATATGTAATATATCAAATTAATCTTCTTTTGATGAGCTTCGATTTAACATCCATATTGTATGTATAAAAAAATAATTTATATTTATCTTTATAACAATAATAAAATTATTTTTAATATTAATTAGAAAAATAAAATTATTTATAAACTAATATATTTATATTTAGTTATATGATATAAGTTATAAAAACTAATATAATATAACACATGTAAGTCATAAGTAACACATATCATTCTAAAATATATAATATTATATTTTTTTGGTAAAAAAGTAAACTAAATTTAATATAGTTTTCTCATTAATTTTAAAATTTAAATATAATTTTTTAACAAGCACCCGTGTAATACACGGGTGTTGTACTAGTAACTACGTTAAACATAAATATATCAATTGAGAAATAATTTTATTTTTTTAATGAATTTTAATAAATATTATTTTTTTTAATAAATTTTAATAAATATTATTATTTTATTATTATTATTATAAAGATAAATATAATTTATTTATTTCATATATACAATATGGAAGTCAAATCGAAGATCATCAAAAAATTATTATTTGATATATTATTTATGTAAAGTCGATAAAAAATACAAAAGTTATCAACTTTTAAAATACATTTACAATTCAATAGCTAATTGAAGGAAGCAAATCAAAAGTGAAGGATATATTAGTCAAGTGCCTCAATTTGTAAAATTACAAAGAATTAAAGGGTTACATTGGTACAAGTGATACTAAATACCTAAGTTAGCTAAATAATATTTATGGAATGTCCGAACCTAGATTATTAAGTATTAGTATATCAATATTATTTGTTCAAACCTAATTACGAAGCATGATTATTCGCCAAGTAGGATTCCGAAGCACCAAAAGCAGTCACGTAGACTCAACACATTCGGGAATTATATAGGGAGGATAGTATGGTCTTTCATGAGTGCTGGTAGGCATATTCACATCAGATTAATCAGATTTACAGGACATATTGGTAAAAATTGTTGAACTTGGCCCACTGATTAAAGCGCTAGTAATTTGACACATTTCTGAGTAGTCTAGTTTCATATGGTAATACTTTAGTAACACACAATCGGGTAGACTCGTGTGCTTCGTAAAGCTTGTTTAGTATGAATTGGTGTTTCGTACTAACACATGTTCAGGTTTGATTTTGACTATTAGGCTTAGCAATTATCATAAACTATTTTTGGCTTTCATTTTTTCTTAAATTACCATATACCACTCTTACTTTTTTTTATTTAATTCATATATTAATTATTGTAGATATTGATTCATTTTATTTTTAAAACTTTATAATTTGTTTATATATATTTTGTTTGTTATATATGATCTACCAAAGTAATCATATTTTAACGATCTTGATTTGATATCTGTATTGCATGTATAAAATAAAAAATACTTTCATCTATATTTATAAATAAAATCAATTTTATTATCAACACAATTTTAAAAATATCTTATAACAATATAAATTATTATATAAAATAACAAAAATATAATTCATTAATACACCATAAAATAATTATTTTATTGTTTTTTCCATAAATTTTGGATAACATTACATAAATAAATTATAAGAATTATTATAAAATATTATTTCTCAATTTAAATAGATTATATACAAAAATTGAATGTTATTATGATATTTAAAATAGTAAATATAAAATAATATTATAATTAAATATAATAAAATAATTCCGTATTTCATAAAGTTAGAAAATAATACATTTCTGCGTAAATTCTAAATTATCAGTTATATAAATTTAAAATAGTTGAAAAAATAATAAATGTGAGACATTGACTATATAAATATAATATAAAATCACAATACAATAAAAATTATTTTGTTTTTAAAAAGAAAAAAATGAATCAAAAATGAAGTTGTAAATAATATTAGTTTTGTTCATATAGAATTTTAAAAATATAATTAAAAATATATTTTTTGGCAGATTTAGTGTAAAAATACGGGCACCATTTAAATTAATGACCACTTTGATAGTTACTAGTGCGGTACTCGTGCGATGCACTGACTAATTTTATTAAGGTAAACATTTATATTTGGATGATTAATTGGAAGAAAGTCAAAACCACGTATTGGAATAAAACAAAATATAACTTATATATTATTAAATAGAAAACAACGTACCTCTGTGTAAACTGTATTTAAGAAAATAAACACTTGACACCTATATATATTAGGATTCAAAATAGGCTTAAATAAATTAATTAAATTATTTTTCAGGATATATATGATATGATTTATACTGGTTTTATGAATATCGCATAGCCAAATATAACGGAGATTGTAAAACGTCTTTCTTGATAATCTTTAGTCTTATTATTTTAAAATTATAAATGATTTAAGTTAAGGAAAGAAAAAATTGTGTATGTGTATGCAAACAATTTCATATTTGTATTATATAGAATTAAACAAAACCCAAATTTTTAGGATGTTCCAATCCGATTTCATTTTGAATTTTAAATTAATATTATCTAACTCTATTTTATGTTTAAAAAAGAAAAATCAAACTAAAGAAAGTAGTAGCCAAATGATATGAGATTTATAAATTTCAATTATCAATTTGAAATTGGGCCGATTTCTATGCAATCCAATTTTTTTTAATAAACATGATCTGTTGCAATTAAGTAAAGATACATGTTATAGTATTTTTACTAAATCAAAAAATTCTCGATTTTA